ACACACACACACACACACACACACACACACACACACACACACACACAACTGACTAACGATACGGTGGCAAGAAACACTCAGCAACAGCTCAAGAAAACCAGCATCTATCCATAGGAAAAGATATTCCATCATCACGTTGTGTTCTTGCTGAGTCATTTTCATGCCCTAAAGATCCATAAATCTTATTAAAAATTGTAATATTTCCGACAATAATTGTTGAAAAGTTCTCACCAAAGGGGATAGTCTTGTTTTCGTCTCGTCAATCATGTGTAAAACACTTGAAAGGTGCTACATAAAGAACATTTGATGGATAAAGGAATAACTTGCTGCTTACTTTGAGCGGTAAAAACACATTAATCGGAACAGTATCAAGACTGCTCAAAAGAAATACACCCGTGAACTCCTCCACAGATCAGTAGCTGCTGTACACGTCTTAATTCACAGATTCATGAAGTCTCAACAGACCAATAAAGGAATTCAACATTTTGGGAAATACACTCATTTACTTGCTTTTTCTGAGAGTGAGTTGAGCTCAAGTTTCCAGCCACATGCAGTGTTTGCCATGTTTAGACTTTTTTTAAATAACATTTTTGTGTATGCAAATTGGAAATGTGCATAAAAACAGGTCGATGTAAATCTCACTTAATCTCATGTCTGTGTGTGAAGCCGGACCTGGTTAGCTTAGCTTAGCATAAAGACTGAAAGCAGTGAGAAACTAGCTCCGCTTGGCTTGTGAAAGCGCCCTTTGGAGGTGCGTCTGGCTAGCAGTTTCCCCCTGCTTCCAGTCTTTATGCTAAGCTAAGCTAACCAGGTCCGTATTTAACCAATCCAAGCTTTATTTTGATCCTCTAATCTCACTCTTGAAAAGACCGCAAACAGGGTTTCTCTTTCCAAAATATGTTGAACTATTCCTTTAAAAAGGAGATAGTTTGATTTTTGGGAATTTTGTTTCGTAAACTCCTGGATTATTACCTTCATGTCTCTGCAGGTTAAAAGTATAACCTGTGAAATTACCCTTTGTGTATTTACTGCATGTTCAGTGACACTTACGAAGTCGATAGTTTAACGGCTATACATCATGTATCATGGATGACAGTCGATCAAACTAGAGAATATGAAATAATAAACACTCCTTCCACTGAGTTACTCCATCCCATAAACATCTGTACTAATCTTACCATATATTCAAAATAGTACAAAATTCCCAAAACACCATCTATCCCTTTATATGTGGACAAGCTCCTTTTCAATAAGCTCAGCGGAGTTATTACTGACTCGAGCAGTAATGGTGTTAATGTGGTCCCATATATTATACAAACCACAGCAGGTCGCCTCAAACAGCTCCGCCTGCTGTTTAGAGTCCAGAGTGGTTTGTATAACCGTGACAGCGGTGACGTACAGTCCCAGGAAAGATGAAGCTCACATGTATATGCTCAGCCCATTCAATTCAGCACACAGAGCAGATTAGTGGTGAGGGGACAGGTTTGACATGAGAGCGCTGGAAGAAAGAGCAATGACTTCCATGAGAGATGGAGGAGGAGGAGGAAGAAGAGGAGGGTCATTCCAAGGATAGATAAGAAGTGAGCCCAGCAGCAGCGGAGTTTGTTCAGGGAAGGTAAAATGGGGGAGGGGGCAGATTTCCGCTGACTCAGTGGGAGCAGTTTTTGGCTAACCTCCTTCACTGTCCCTGATCCTCCATGCTCTTTCTCAGCCCTCCTCCACTGTCTTCTCTCCTCCACCTCCACCTCCACCTCCTGACTCAGTCTGCACCTCCTGCTCCCTCCAGTCCTGGAGGACGTACTGCAGCCTGTTGCGGAGCTCATTGACCACAGAGAGCGAGTTTGGCAACGCCACACATCTGGCTTTTCACTATCTGTAGGAAAGGGGGACCTGCATCCTGAGGGCAACCCCACAAGTGGACAGTCCAGAGGGTCCCATTCAAGGCCACTGGACGCCGTTAGACTACAGTGTGAAGAAATGTCTAAAATATAAATTCCAGTAAAACAAAACTGAAAGCAAAAAAGATAAGCAATCTACTCAGGACTGCGGTGCGAGAGCTGGAAGTGGAAAGATGGCCGACGCAGCTGACGGGCAGGTGGATCTACTCACGTCGTCTTGGATGTCCAGGTCGCAGCCAGCTTTGAGCAGGACACGCACCACCTCAACGTGGCCTTTGTAGGCGGCCAAGTGCAGGGGGCTCCTGCCATACTGTGGACACAACACACACACACACACACACACACACACACACACACACACACACACAAAGCCCAGTGAACAACACACCAGCGGGCACACAACATAAGCACACTAACTCCCGAACAAGCAGATAAAGTCGAGTAAATAACGCACAGCATTACGATCCAGTGAGTCGGATATCGCTGCAGCGTAAATAACGGTCTTAGCCGGCGGTACGGATGAAGACAATCTGCTTCAGAGTACAATCCATCTCGGTAACGAGTCGACCGAAAACAAACAGATACTTAATCCGTGGTTTAAGAGAATCGTGCACAATCTGCACATCTGTTCATGTCAGCGGAGTCGAGGATCATCTCTGGGATCCGTGGGCCGGCCCCGAGGCACGAAGGTTGTACAAGACACGTTTCACACACATGTTCAAAAACATTAATTGATTTATGAAGAAAATAAGATGCAGAATTATTGTGCAACAATGTGGGCACATCGACAAGTTTATATTTATTTAAATTCTTCTTTAATTATATTAATTGCAAATAATTATTTGGTGTCTGAATTGTTATGAAGTAATTATTGGATAGATAATATACACACACATACATATACATACAGTATATACTGTAATGCTACATCAGTGATGCTACGTGCACAACCAGGAAGTGTGAGAGGACAACGGGAACTTCAACAAGGGGAAACTCCTCCTTACATATACATGTATGATAATTATATAAACATAACACTCGTTGGGAGGATTAGGACAAAAGCTCTGAACACATCCTGAACATTACATCCAAAATAATGAACTGTACCCAGAAGAATGAGGGCGCAGGATGTCTGCATGCAGGTTCAAACAGCAGAGCCAGGTGATCTCTGTTAATCTGTCATTGTACCGAGTAAACTCAGTTTAATTACCATTCCCACACAACAGCGTAAGCCGCATTACACCCCTGGTATTCTCTCAGCGCTTGGAGGTTTGGTGCTTTGTTTGGGTGCGGCTCTGGTCCGTTCTGTATTTACGTGGTCCTCAGATTGAGTTACACTCGGAGAGGAGCCACCGGCCGAGCTCAGGTAAACAGCAGGCCTGAGGCCGGCGGGCAGCCTCTGTTGTCTGAACACTGACTGAGGGATTGCGGCTCTGTGGGCTGATTCTTTCAGAGGCAGTCGGTACGTCGGGTGTCACTTTACCTCGTAGTCTCCAAATGCTCTTGTATAGTTACATTCCTCTTTTTAGTTATGCATTTGACTTTATCTGTAGGTTTTGTCTCTCCCTGCTGGGGATCAATGAATCTTATCTTTCATCTTAAAGACGTGTTGGCTTGTGTGATGGAGATGAGGCGGAAATCAGAGCTGTAATAACCTCAGAGCTCTTCATCGTTACAACGGAGAACAACACAGAGTTACCGAATAAATTCAGTAACTCTGTGAAGAGTTAAAGGGGAGCTTCACAACTTTTAAAGTCCATCTTAAAATAATACTGACATGTCTAAATGTAAAGGGATACCCTCCCAAAGCGGTTCCAATGTAAGTGATGGGAGACAAAAGAGCACTAAAAACCTTTCAACCGCTCCAGATTGTGAACCCAGTAATTAGCAGGACTCTGAACCCTCATCTCCTCACGCTTTCTTCTTTAACCTCACTGAACTCCCCGTTTTATCCCATTTTCTTACTCGATCCATTCATCGCATTATCCTTCTGAAAACTATTCCTACAGTCCGCTTCCTGCGCAGAGGAATGTTTTCGTATGAAACTCTGCCCCCTTTATCCGGGATTAAGTTTTCATGATGGCAACCTGCCAAAATACCCAAATACAGCCGGTCGGAACTAAATCATCGGAGCGAGCAGCAGCACATGTCATGTTGTTGTAGCTGTCTTTTCATTTCAGGTATCTCACATAGAGAAAAAAGGAACCAATGATTTTAAATGTGTGCCTGAAACCTTTGCCTTTTATCGTCAGAAATTTTAATTATTTCCTAAATATTGGAAACCTGCAGCACAACAGACCTGTTGGTACTGTGTCTGTGGAGGCTAATAGACGATGGAGGAAGATGATGAAGATGAACAGTCAAATTGAGGACTCGCCTTCCTTTTGGGGACAAAATGTACATACCCGTAACGTTAATAGTTACATTTTAGGGGGAGGACTTGGGTTAAGGTTAGGTTTACGTTAAGGTAATACTACAGGAAATTATTGTTATTCCCTGTAATGTCCCCAAAAGTCATGAAAACATGTCTGTCTGTCTGTCTGTCTGTCAGTGTGTGTCCGTCCGTCCGTGCGTCTGTCTGTGCGTCTGTCCGTGCGTCTGTGCGTGCGTCTGTGCGTGCGTCCGTGCGTCTGCGTCTCCTGGACCGACAGCTGTGTCAGTGTGATCCATCTGGCCATGTAACAGCTCAACTGTGAACCCGTCCCACATCTGGGTGCTCACGACCATGGATGTATGAGAAGTGGAAACCGTGTCGGAGGCAGACGATCACAAAATGGCCCGGATCATTGGGAGATCGTTTTGCATCCTTTGTCCTATCGAGCAAAGAAGAGTTTCCTTCAGCCCGCCTCACAGCCGCCCGGTGCAGGCAGCTAGTGAAGCCAAAGTGGAAGTGACTTAAACCTGCATTCTTTGTACCGGCCATCAGGGGGCGACTCTTCTTGTATTGAAGTATGAGGAAATGATCTTCTTAATACCTCCTCGCCTCTAACACCCACAGTGTATTTAAGAGGAGGTGTCTTCACCCTCTGTGTGACTCCCACACAATGGATCGCACTCAAAACACCTTCTACACTGACGCCATCATTCCCCTGACTGAGTGAAGCTGCTGACATCATTTTCATTAGTGTGAACACGATGGGGTTGTGTTCACACGTCAGCAGCTCTAAGCCTTTCATGCTCTGCTTCTATTTGAATCAAGAGACGCAGATGAGCCCGTGGAAACAGTGATGACAAAATGACTGAACACATCCGATGACATCGTGACATGTTCTGGAAGCTCACAGCTTTGCAGTGAAATCAATTGGCCACACTAAAAAAGGATATCCGTTATATTCACTAGAGCACACCTATGAGTCACGCAACGCAGTGACACAATGGGAGTAAATCGACACCCTAAAGACGCAGACACTGTTAAACAGGCCGCGAACAGAAAGATGAAGCTTTGGAGTGGATTCGGGCCGACCGGTTCAGACCCGGGACCGCTCACTCACCTTGGTGACGGCTACTTTGGCGCCCTTGTTGATGAGCTGGACCACATTCTCGGCTTGCCCCTTGTGCGACGCTACGAGGAGGCGCTCGGAGAGTGCGAGGACCTCAGCCGCATCCTGCTGGCTCATGAAGCAGGGCGCGTGGTGCTGCAGACAGAGGCGTCAAACAGACGTGGAGCTGGAGAGGCTGCCAGTGCTGCTGCTGCTTCTTCTTCTTCTTCTTCTTCTGTCTGCTTAGAAACTCCACAAACTGCCAGGATTCCTGCCCTTCATCCTCCTCGCCGCTGCTGGGAAGAGAACAGGAAACACATGGAGTGAAAACAAGCCAGCGTGTGCTCCGCTCATAATGCTGGCAAACAGGAAGACGGGGCCGACATCCCGACTGTCCAGGTTGTTACACACATGTACAGTCCTCCTGGGAACATGTGCACAGAAACAACCACAAAACCAGGGCCACAAAGAGGGGTTGTATTTAGTCACACCGGGTGCTGCAGTAGTAGTAGTATTTTAAATCACACACAGTAAAACAGTCGGTAACCACCACTGACAGCACAGACACACTTCTGTGGTTTCTCTACTAAACAGTCTTAGAGTTGCATAACATGGGTATGAGAGCTCAGTTGTTTGTGTGACGATGTTTTCTTCACATTGTAGCCATTTCATTGTCGGGAGACCATTTTTTAAACTTGATGTGAGCGTAATAAAATGACCTGTTGTGACCCGTAGGATAATCACAGCCTTGTGAAACTTTACGAGCACCGAGGGCATTCAGAGGATATATGGCTGTCCCGGGTATAGTGACAAGAAAAAGGGCTTTCTGAGCAGCTTCCACAACAGAAGTGCTCACCAACCAATCGCAGACAAAATGCAATTCTTGCAGAAATCCCCAAATAACAAAAGTATTTGACACCAAATCACAGCATGGAACTTTCTATAGTGCTCCTTAAGTTCTTGGTGTCTTAATGTGGCATTTTGGAGAAATGGTTTTCAATATTTGAGGTAAGAAACGGTTGAACGGTTGGCATATAGTGGTACTCTCTCCATGCATGCCGTCTCTGATCAAGTCTCAATACATGAATCCATAAAGACACCGACAGGTGACAGTTATATGCAGGCAGATGGAAAAGTCTGTCAACTTTGGAGTATCATAAATATTTCAGTGGAGGTAAATGGGCTCCTTTCATGTCAAATTCTTTTACCGTTATCAATCCAGAGTCATAAAAGCAGCAGGTAATAATCGGAGTGAAGACAGACGCTGTGGACATGTTGTGACAGGAAGGCTCTGTGATTAAAGAGCCTCTATTACACGTTATTTGTGCTGGGAGAACTCCACACTATAACTGCATTTATCACAGGCTTTAGACCTTTTATAAACGTTGTATTCAGGTGAAGATGTGATGTTCTGACCCACGTGGTGCTTATTGGCTGTAAAGCTGATAATCCCTGCTCACTAAGCCTCACACAAGCACAACAGAAAGAGAATAACGTGCAACATGTTTGAGGTTAAGCTTCCACAGAGTGAGGAAGTGTTGATATGACTTCAACAATCATGCAGGACTTTAAATACACAAGAGCAGACACGAGTGGAAGTAACAAAAACAAAAACGCAAATCAAGACCTGCCAAGAAAATTGCAATTAGTGCATCTCTATAGTAGATACTCATTTATGCTTCATTTCCCACGTGTCTGAGCAAATGAGGGAGTTTGCATCTCAAACGACACGAACATTATAAAAGCAGTACGGGCCGAGGAAGGGATCGGGACTTTGTAGTCACTCGTGTCCATTCGTACAGACCGGTAACCGGAGCCGAACACAGGACGTGAGAGAGACAGTGATTGCACAGCTCCGCTGTGAAGAGGAAGAGGCACATCCCATCCGATCCCTGGAGTCTAATCTGTGATGACAGTCCGTGTAATGACAGCGTGTTTCATCGCTAGAGACAACGGCACAAAATGAGGCAACATGGAACGGACGACATCAACAAGACGGAGTCAGCGCCGCACATGAATAAATCCAGAGAGAGAGACCGATTACTTCCAACACATTAGACCTTCATCACAACTCAACCATGAAACACGGCTGTGCGGTACAGTTCCACTGGAGCAGAGTTTAAAGCACACAAGTACCCCACGTTTTAAGGCCTTTAACACACGAGGGCGTTTCCTTTGTTTTTGTGTGATTAATTTGCAAAGTCGATATATGTGCACGTATTGCAGATTTCCGTTCTCCACAACGTAACCCACTGATAGCTTTAAAAAACGACCTCACTCCTCACTTACATCGATTTTCGCCGCATTATATTGGTTCTTAGTGAAAGTACTCGTGACAAAAACAGCTCAAATTATTGCACAAAGAAAAGAAAAACGCCCCCCCCCCCCCAGCAAAATGCAGTAAAGACGAGGTTATGGTGAAAGTGTCCCCACTGCGATGCATCTTAAGAGTCCACACATCTAATGGATTAATGGATGATTCTGCAGTCCAACAAATATCCTTGAAACATTCCCGAAATTCAAATCAGGCCACACAAAGTGGAATGCCAAAGAATGCATGAAAACCCTCCCAATCGGAGGTCACTTCACTTGAGCTGAAGAAGGGTTCTGAGGCACTATGGTAACATGGGAATGGCTCCCTACTGCCAGCTAAAAACTGAATAACATTAAGCGAGGTGGGGGGGGTGACTGCATTCCAGTAGATTCTCCAGAAGATCCTGTTCAGTCGGAGACCACGAAGCACACAAAGCCGGCCTGGCAGTCACAGCGAGGCTCCTCGCATGCAGCTAGGCAACGCGGGCTTTTGTGCAAACCTTTTTCTTTTTTTTTTGGGAGCTCAGGACTCCTGTTCAACAACAACAAAATGCCAAACCCTCGCTTTTCACATGGCTCAGGGAGGAGGCCCTGGAGAATACTTATCAACCTGCCAACTTCTCATGCAGACACACCGCTGACTATCCGGGTTGTTGGAGCCGATCGGTGGAGGTGAAAGGATTTATTTTTCTGATATATGTTAGAAATAAAATGACAAAAGAAGGGGAAGATATATTAGCGGTGGAGCTGTGTTGTATTCGTTTCATACTGCAGCCCGGATTATCTGGGACGAGGTCAAATGGGCCCGTTTGTACTTTAATACTACTGAAAAAACACCCGTTAAGTGCTACAACACAACGTTAAACTAATAACAGATACATAACTTATTTAGTCTACAATGATGCAATCCTTGCCAAATGTTTTTCCTCGTTTCCTCAAATAAACCATTTAAAGACATCAGTTTAAGAGGAGAAACCAAACCGCAGATAAACATGTTCATGCACTGGTCAATTCAGAGATTTTGCTTCCATAACATGTCTTCTTTCAGACTAGTGGTAAGAAACATCTAAAACACACATTTAGGTTTTAGTTTTACTACTTTTGTCTGTAGATTTCTACTAAATTCACCAAAAGTTACCATTAGATAATGCCTCATTTGCATATTCAAACATAACATAAAAAAAACAAAAAAAACAACAACTTGTAATACAAAAAATGATTGTCTCAATGTCAGTAATGAAGTGGTGAAGTTTCATGGTGATATCTATTAGTTTGTTTAGTTTATTTAGCCAAAATTATTCAGCTACTGTACTTGGCTCCGCCCTCTCGTGTCACTTCTGGTTGCAAAATACCAAGATGGCGACGGCCAAAATGTCAAACGCAAGGCTTCAAAACCAAAGGGTGACGTCACAATAAGCATTTCCACTACTCATATATAATCTACGAGTAAAACGGGATATTTATTGTTTGGAAACTTCTAATTCTGCCCACCTTTCTGTATTGGATCTCATATAAGTTAAAGTAAACTTATATCATGCTCATTAACATCCCATGATGCATAAAGTGTGCAAATAAGCCTCTTCATTTGTTTAAACAATATCTTACTGCAGGTACAGCGCCTCATGTTTGGGTCAACGTAACTTCCCTGACGGCTGACGTGTTGAATCTTGCGGTCCGGCCTGCTGGAGGTGTGACGGGCTTCATTCAGAGAAACAGCTGTGATGGGAGGCGCCCGCTTGATAACCTCACAGTGACATACCGGCTCTGACCTTTTCTGACTCATTCACAAGCAGCAAACATGTCTCCCAACTGGACATTTTAAGTGGAGAACGTCTATATTCCCAGAACTAAATGACTGCACAGACGTGCATCTATTATGAGCATAGTTCATGATCACCAAGTGTGCACCGGTGAGCTATTTCAGAACTGTTGTAAAGTTTGATGCATCCCAACGCTCGCAGGCACCGACAGATGCAGGTGAGAGGAGCAAAGGCATGTATTCAGGTCAATGCTTTGCTAACTTCCACGGTTGGGCCTACAAAAGTACGTCATCCATGCAGCACTGTGTTTACTGCAATAATAATAGCTAAATCAATTTACACTGCGACAGCCCTGAATCACACCTTTCAAACCGGTGTTCAGCTGATAAGTAACACGGAGTCAATGAGATGTGTTCTCTTCTTCACGCTCACAAGGAAGCACTGAAGTCAGCGTCACTTTGTAGCCCTCGACACGGTCACCGTGACCGATAAGCGAGAGGACAACTGTGCATCCTTTAGGACCTCGGGAAGCAGTGGACGTCCAAAGTATGCCAGGAATGTAACTGCTAGTGCCCGCCTGTCAACACATCCAACAGCAGCACATTCAAAGGTTTTATTTAAGTTTTAGTGGGTGGAAGGATTTCAGATCTGACAAACGAGGAAGTGATGTGACCTCAGTCTGACCCCTAAAAACGTGCACCAGCGTCCTTCAACCGACATGTCAGGAAAGATATGCTGTGTTGCATTTTTTCTGCTTTCCGTTAGTTACTCCCACCAAAGATTTGGCTTCTGATTACAGTCTACAAATGATTATCTGAAGGGGGGGGGGGTAATAGTCTACTCTACCACCCACTTTGGTTGTATAGAAGTCTATGAGAAAATGACTCTACTTCTCTCTTGATTTATTACCTCAGTAAACATTGTAAACATGAGTTTATGGTCTCAATCTCTAGTTTCAAGTCTTCTTCAATACAGCATGATGTTCATTTAGTACATTATGGTCCATTTAGAGTCAAACAGACCATAAAGCAGGGGATTATTATGGGTAATAGTCATGGGGCAAAGAAATAATGCTCAAATTAGGCTTTTAGACTTGTAACTACTTTCCCTCTCAGAAACAAGCCGGAGCTTCTCACATTACATCATTTGTTTTTCACTGATCTTGAAAAATAAAGCGCTCTTCACACAGTTCATGCTTAGAAATGTAAAACTTCCCTGAGGGG